ACTGTCACAATTGTAAAGGTAGAAGTTTTGTAACATAAAGGGAGGAGGTAGTTAATCTTACATTCCATAAACAGAGAACCCTAGTACTATCAAGGGAGAAGAGCACGAGCAGAATGTGAGACCCTATACAGAGATACAATGACACCAGAGATGGAGGTAAAGATGATGACATGGAGAGATAGAGCAGCTGAGGACTCTAGACACATGGAAAGAGAAAGGCTGTGTGCTGGTGGCCAAGAGGCAGGCTTGCAGAATGTACCCTTTAGTTGTTTAAATGATTATAAATTCCTTAGTGTTTTTGTGTACATAAAAAACAAACAAACCAAAAAACAGAGAGAATAGAAGCAAATACTGTTGAGTGATGATGCATAGAGGGGATTGTAATCATTGCAAGGAAATGAAATATGAAATATGATAGGATGAGTGCAAAACCAGTGTTCTCCCATATAAATTATCTCTCAATTTACAATAAAAGCTTTAAGGAAAAGAAAAATACATAGAGTCATTGTACTAAAAGGTAATGGTCGGTATTCAACCATTTCAAGAGGTAGCATATTATCAAGAGCTAATGAGACTAAAGGAAGAAGTTCAAGGTGCACTGAAGGAATTGGCAAAGAACCAGGCTCTGGAAATTGATGGAATATAAATTAAAATCTTTCAACAAACTGAGGCAGCACTGGAGACAGTTATTCATCTATACCAAGAAATTTGGAAGAAAACTACCTGGTTTACTAATCAGAAGAGACCCATATTTGTGCCCATTCCAAAGACAGGTGACCCAATGGAATGCAAACAATATCACTAATATATGAAAGTAAATTTTTTATAAAGATGATTCAAAAGTGGCTACAGCAGTACATTGACAGGGAGCTGTCAGATATTCAGACAGGGTAGTGGAATGAGGGATATCATTGCTGATGTAATAAGATGGATCTTGGCTGACAGCAGAGAATACCAGAAAGATATTTACCTATGCTTTATTGACTATGCAAAAGCTTTTGATTGTGTGGATCATGAAAAGCATGGACAACATTGCAGAGAATGAGTATTCCAGAACACTTAATTGTGCTTCTGAGAAATTTGTTCATAGACCAAGAGGCAGTCATTGGAAAAGAACAGGGATACAGTGATGGTTTAAAATCAGCAAAGGTGTGTGTCAGGGGTGTATTCTTTCACCATATTTATTCAATCTTCATTTTGGGCAAATAATCCAAGATTCTGGTTATATGAAGAAAAACCTGACATCTAGAGTAGAGGAAGATTTGTTAACGACCTGTGATATGCAGATGATATATCTTTGCTTTCTGAAAGCAAAGAGTTCTTAAAATACTTACCGATGAAGATCAAAGACCACCACCTTTGGCTGCACCTCAATGTAAAGACAACAGAAATCCTCACCACTAGACCAATAAATAATATCAAGATAAATGGAGAAAAGGTGAAAGACTTCATCTTGCTCAGATCAACCATCAACACTCATGAAAGCAGCAGTCCAGAAATCAAACGACGTATTGTATTTGGCAAATCTGCTGCGTAAGACCTCTTTGAAGTGTTGAAAACAAAGATGTCAGTTTGAGGACTAAGGTGAACTTGACCCAAGGCATGACATTTTCAATAGCCTCATATGCATGTAAAAGTTGGACAGTGAATAAGGAATACTGTAGAATAATTGATGCATTTGAGTTATGGTGTTAGAGTAGAATATTAAAAGTATCATGGACTCGCAGAAGAACAAACCAGTCGGTGCTGAAGGAGTACAGTCTGACTGCTCCTTAGAAACCAAGATGGCCAGGCTTCATCGCTCATATTTCAGACATATTATCAGGAGGGACCAATCCCAGGAGTAGGACATCATGCTTGGTAAAGTGGTCAGCGAAACACAGGAAGATCCCCAACAAGATGCATTGATATAGTGGCAGCAGCAATGAACTCATGTATAACAACAATTTTGAGACGGGTGTAGAACTGGGCAGTGTTTTGTTCTGTTGTGCAAAATTTTGCTATGGGTCGGCACCTAACAACAACAACAACAAAGTTGTGATAGGCAGACTCTGCATGGTTAACATGATTGGCTGCCAACCAAAAGGTTGGATTTTTTTAGTCCATCAGAAGAAAGTCTGGTGTTCTATTTCCAAAAAATTAAGCTCTGACACACCTGGGGTCATTATGAGTTAGAATCAATTCAATGGAAGCTAATTGAATTTGTAAAAGAATGGTTATTAGAACAAAATACATTTTTAGAAGACCGATAATTAAACCTGTGAAAGTCAGACTCATGTGAGGTGGAAAGTTGGCAAAGAAAAACTAAAATATTTTCCATTAAACTGAATGATGAAAGAGTGGTAAGACTGTACTGTATCAAAGACAGAAAATTTGCAAGACCTGGAAAAGCAAGGCAATTGCATTGAGTTCTGCCTCTTACAGGTTTTACTGTCTGTGTTTCCTTAACTTCACTACGTGTTCATATTTATGAAACCGTGGATTTCTAAAATATAAAAATATTGTTATTTATACAAGTCTGAGGACATTAGAGATCTACCTTTTTATACTTTGAGAAGCGGATGTCATAGTCACTATAATGTATTAAAAATTAGTTTTTGTATTTTGTTTCTAGCTTGACTACTTTTGCAACTTCCTTCAAGAAAATTGTTTACAGAGAATATGAAGCATATTTTAAGAAAGAAAAACCACGATCTAGCATTTCAGGTAAGCCTGAGATATAGACATTTAATTTTAAAGGTACATCTCTATAGATAATTGGTTGTGCTGGTGGTGCTGATGTGTGTGGAGTAACTTCATAGATAACTGGTGATTCATCTATATTTAAAATATCCATTTAATGACATTTTATAGAAATGTATATTGTTTCTATTAACCCAGACTGGCTATATAACTAATAGAATGCAATGCAAAATGAAAATGTGGGGGCCCTTTGTTTATATTATTGAGAATTTCAAAACAGAGACAGCAAATCATTAAACCAGAAGGCCCTTTGGAACTCAGGGCCTTGTGCAATTAATTTGACAGGTTACATATCCATACAGCTGTCCCTGATTTTAGCTTTGATTGAAATAGTTAAACAAAAATTTTAAGAGCTTAAAATTTTATCCATTCATGTAACAAACTATGATTGAGTATCTTCTGTGGACTGGGCATTGAAGTAGGCACAGTGGACAAGACACACACAGAATCTGCCTTTTCAGAGCTTTTGGGTTAGTATAATGAGTACAGCTGTGCCTTAACAAATTGAACTTTTGCTTCCATCTGGTTCTCTGAACTCATTCAAACAAACTTTGTGTGGCTCATTTCTTTTGCAACTGTCTATCCCACCTGTTCTTCTGTTTGTTTAGTGTGAAACACATGATAGCTAAAACAATAAAACAGAAAAACCAACTCTTCGTTTTAAGTCCTCTGTTCTATGAATCGGAATCAACTTAATGGCAGTGGTTTCTTTTCTGTTGTTGTTTTGGTCTTTAACCAAAGACATATGTTGAATGGGTTTCTAAAATTTAAAATATGTTACCATATTCTATAGGAATCCTAGAGGTCATCTGGAGATAACTTTCTCAAGCTGGTACCCCTTAAGATTAATTAATTAATCCTACTCACCCCACACCCCAATAATTAAGGAAAATTCATCCCAGACTCATTCTTCTATCTGTTACTCATCCAAGTCTCACCTGCCTTCTTTAATCCCTTCTGTATCTTCTAGCTAATCTTTCCTCTACTAGTGCCTTCTCTCCTTTTGAAAAATCAACAGGAATAAAACAAAACCAAGCAAAAAATACTGTTCAGGTTAACTCCCATTCAGAGAAAGAAGAAATTGTCTCTCGGTCCTGCCTGCCATTCCCCTTGTGTTTTCTTTCACTACCGATTTCCTGCAGGAGTTGTCTGTATTGAGCCTCTATATACATTTGCTCTCCTAAATCACTCTAGATTACTAAAATTACCACTAAAATTACTCTCAAAATAATCTCTGTGACCTCCAAGTTGCCCAAGCCAATGATTTCTTTTCAATTCTTCCATTTGACCTCACTGTAGGGGTGGGGAACCTTTTTTTTTGGCCAAAATTTATAACATCATTCCCAGGTCACACAAAATTATCAACTAAAAATTAGCCTGCTGTATTTGGTCAAACATTTAATTAACTCACCCCGAATGGAATCCTGGAGTCCTGGTGTGGCGCTGTGGGCTAATGCGTCAGACTGCAAAGTCGTTTGAACTGTAAGGTCGGTGGTTCAGGCTCACCAGCTGCTCCTTGGAAACCCTATACAGGGTTGCTAAGGGTCGGAATCGACTCAACGGCACATAACAATGACAACAGTATGATGGCTGGAGTCCTGGTGTAGTGCTGTGGGTTGGCTAATGCGCTGAACTGCAAATTTGGATTGAACCGCATAGTAGGAGGTTCAAGCTCACCATTCGCTCCTCGGAAACCCTATACAGGGTTGTTATGTGCCAGAACTGACTTGATTCAACAGCACTTAACAACAACAATGTGATGACTGGACCTGAGGTTGCCTTGTCTGGGCCAGACCAAATGATTTCATGGGCTTTATAAGGTACTCGGGCCAGACATTCCCACCCCCTGCCTTAGTAGAACAATTAACGCTCCACATTCTGGAAACTCTACTCACCTGGTTTCCCTTGAGCTAGTTGCCTTGGTTTGTCTCCAACCTTATTATTATTAATAATATTTAGTAGTATTAATATAGCCAATTATGTGTGCATAATAAAGTGTCGTGGTTACAAATTGGGATGCTAATTTCAGGGTCAGCAGTTCGAAACTACCAGCTGTTCTGCAGGAGAAAGAAGAGGCTTTCTGCTCGCATAAAGATTTACAGCCTCAGTAACCCTGTACAGAGTCGCTGTGAGTCGGAACCGACTCCACGGCACATAACCACCAACCACCAACCACCACCAATAATTGGTAATGTTGTTTGTTGTTAAGTGCCTTTACTTGGTTCCAACTCATAGCAACCCCATATAGGGTTTCCAAGGAGTAGCTGGTAGATTGGAACCACCAACCTTGTGGTATCAGTCCAACGTTTCTCTAACAGCACTATACCAGGACTCCAATAATTACTAATAGTGAGCAATATTTATTATAGTTCACTGGATCATCTTCCTCAGGGCTCAGCCACATCCACGGCTTTCACTACTACCTACTGAGATGCCTCTTTTTCTCTAAAACTATATCAGCTTTCACTTCCTGCCATTAGAATTAATACCCTTTTCTCTTCACCCACAGTGCCTTCTACTAGGTTCTGTCTCACAGGGATACTGTTAGGGTCAAATGAACTCATAAATACACAGTGCTTAGAATAATGCTAACACATAACAAGCATTGTTAATTATACCACTAATTTATATATTCTTTATATATGTTCATGTATACATTGATTTTTTGGTAATATTCATGTATAAATTTCCTTTAAGCCAAGAAACATAACTATGTATTGAGTGAGAAGAGACTGCATTCCAGTCTCTAGGGCTACACAGATGAGTAAGACCTGGGGCCTGACCTTCGGGAGCTAACCAACTAACTTTTGGGACAACCCATAAGTAAACTATCCTAGTGAGTCCTAGTGTAGTGCTGCGGGTTAATGCGCTGGACCTCAAGGTTGCCTTGAACCATAAGATCGGCAGTTCAAGCTCAACAGCCTCTCATCTCTATGAGTCGGTACTGACTTGACAGCACTTAACAACATAAATAAACTTGGTGGTACTGGGGGTTAGATATTGGACTGATAGTAGAAAAGTTGATGGTTCAAATCCACCAGCAGTTCTTCAAGGAAAAATTGAAGCTGTCTGCTTCCATAAAGGTTTACAGTCTCACAAAGAGTCCTGGTGTGGCACTGTGGGTTAATGCGCCAGATTGCAAAGCCATTTGAACTACAAGGTCAGTGGTTCAAGATCACCAGTCACTCCTTGGAAACCCTATACAGGTGAAGGGTTTCTATGGGTCAGAACTGACTAGACGGCACTTAACAACAACAACATGAGTAAGAGCAAAGATGTCAGCTTGAGGACTAAGGTGTGCCTGACCCAAGTGATGAATAACCTCGTATGCATGCAAAAGCTGGACAGTGAATAAGGAAGACCATAGAAGAATTGATTCTTTTGAGTGATGGTGTGGGAGGAGAATACTGAACGTGCCATGGGCTTCCCATAGAACCAACAGATCTGTGTTTGAAGAAGTGCAACCAGAGTGCTCCTTGAAGACTGGGATGGCCAGATTTTGTCTCTCATACTCTGGACATATTGTCAGGAGGGACCAATCTCTGGAGAAGGCTATCATGTTTGGTAAGGTGGAGGGTCAGAGACAAAGAGGAAGACCCCAGAGAGATGGATTGGCAAAGTGGCACCATCAATGGGCTCAAGCGTGGCAACAATTGTGAGGTTGGCCCAAGATCAGGCAGTGTTTTGTTCTGTTGTGCATAGGGTTACTATGGGTTGGTACCAACTCGATGGCACCTAACTATAATAACAATGAATTGGAAGTGACTCAATGCCAGTGAGTTAGGTAAACAAGCAATCACACTACAGTAATAAGGAAGAATTAGGATGAGTTCTATAGTAGGACATTGTTGTTGTGCAGTGCCGTGGAGTCGGTTGCAATTAACACAGTGTTTCCAAGGAGTGGCTGGTGAGTTTGAACTGCTGACCTTGTGGTTCAAATTGACCTTGTGGTCCAGTGCTTTATCACACAGTGCCATACCAGGACTCCAGAGAATAGGACATAGGAGACATCTATCTGTAGTCTCAGGGTCTGAAAAGTCTTTAAATTGATAGCTGAAAAGAGAGGAGAAGTTAGTAAAGTGTGGAAAGGGAGAAGACCAAGGAAGCAGTATGTATAAAGGTTTAGAGGTGACAGATTGTGGTATATTTAGGCAGTGGCCATCACATCAACAGAGCTGGAACACAGACTTTAAGGAAACAAACAAGAGAAGCAAATAAAAGGGGGGTAGGGACCAGGTAGGTCAAGGAGTTCTGCTAAAGCTTTATCTTGAGGGCAATAGTCACTGAAAAACTTTAAACAGGATAAAGACATCTAAGGATTAGTGCTTTAGGAGATGGATTGGAGAAAGGCAAGTTAAAGTCAAGGAAATGAGTTATGGGGCTGTTGTGTCAATCCAGATGGGAAATTAGTGAGGCAGCTGCAATGAAGAGAAATAGATGGAGCCAAAGTCAACTAAAATTGATGATTAATTAGATGTAGATAACCAGGAAAATAGCAGAGTCATGATTGATTTTGAGGTTTCTGGTTTGAGTAACAGGGTAAATACTGGACCATATAGTAAGGGGAAATTTTAGGAAATGGAAAAGTTTATGAGATAAGTTGCTTTTCAGGATTGGAGTTTGATGTGCCTGTGGAATATTTACTCAGGGAAGTAAAACGGGCAGATGGGTATAGAGACTTGGACCTCATGAGATTGATGTGAACTAGATATAACTATTTGAGAGACTATATAATAAAGATGGTCAAGGAAGCTTTGGGAGGATGTGTGACATCGCTCAGGAGTGTATAATGAGAAGAGAAGGCTACAAAGGAGCCCAAAGAAACACTCGGATCTAAGAGAGGGGTCAAGGAGAAATAAAAGGAACTTGAGAAAGTCTGCTCATAATGGGCAGAGGAAAGCTGCAAGATGCAGTTTTCTGGAAGCAAAGGGTCAGAGTCTACCAAGAACTACTAATATAAGCTC